TTAGGTCCTAATTGGCCATTAAATTGTATATGCATATATGGTACATATTTTAAGTCAAATCTGCATGTCTAATGTGATTTTTTTGATTACATGTTCACAGTCAGGCTGGGATGGTGGAATGAAGAAGGAAGGGTCTGTCGCCTTCGGAAGGAGGGCAGTTGTCAACAGGGCTGCAGGCAGGCTGTGGTGTGGGGCCATGTCCCGGGGGGGCCGCTCGGGAAAGAACGAGGCCAGGCGGGAAGCCGGAGGTGGCTTGAGGCAACCCTGCGGGCTCTCAAAGCCCCGTTGGGTCCAGATGGGGAGGTCCATCTGGCTTGTGACTTGAATACCGTCTTCCTTAGACCTTGAAAGTAGCTTCTCTTGAGGTGGTGAACATGCAATACAATATACGGATGATGTTATTGTAGAATTGCGCACCCCGAGCCTTTAATTTTATTTACCACCATCACCCCAATAAATTCAATGAGAATTTTTAAAAGAAACAAAATAGTTTTCCTATGTTGGCTCTTTGGGTCCACAGGTCATCTCTAGGTCTAGCTGCCCCCTGGGGCTGCCACAAAGTCCTCCCCGAATCCGGCCATGGAGCAGATCAAACACTCCTTGGAGCCAAGAGCCCTGGCTCTGACACTGAAATATGACCTTGGGCAAGTCCCTTCTCCTTGCACATCTCAGTGTCCCCCCATCTGTTAGACGAACGAGTTGGACCGGATGTGCCCCATATCTCTTCTGGGTCCGACGGGCCATGATCTGCTTCCTGCTCATTTTAAACACCCCGTCTGCCAACAGCCTCCCCGCCCCCCTCAGCCAGGTGCTTCTGCTTTCTAACCAGGATCCTTCCTGCCCGCACCTGAACCAGCTCTGCTTGTTGTCTTTCCTCGCAGGCCTATTCTAGGAACTCCTCAAAGTGTCGAAGGCTGTTAGCAAAAATCTCTTCCACATATACATTCACACATTCTATTTTTAAATAACATTTATTTCTGATCTTAAAAGTAAGACCATACCTGGTCATTGTAGAAAATTGGAAACAGACAAGTATAAAAGAGAAAATAAAAACCTCCCACAACCTTCCCAGAGATAACCACTGTTAATGGGGTTTTTTAATGCCTATGTATGTGGATTTAGTTTAGTATTTCGGTTATAAAATTGGGATTATGCTACAAATGTGGCTTTTGGGTTGCCCAAGCCTGGCCTTTGAAACCGGGCCAGGTTCTTCCTTCCGAGATGCCCTGGGGCTGCTCTGCCCCAGAAGAGGGGACCTTGTTCTGTGGGATGTCTCCACCTTGGTGTGTGAGCCCCTGGGAGGCCCAGAGTTTAATTGTGACCACCTCTGAGTGTGTGTGTGTGTGTGTGTGTGACGGGCAAAGGGACAGACAGCGGGAGAACACACGTGTCGGTCACTGAGCAGGAGCCTATGCCAAGGGCCCACCCTAACGGGAGATCATACGATGTGATCACAATCCCTGGTGATCAGTCCTACTTTAGGCTCTTTGTCTGAGCCAGTGCCAGGAATCGAAGGAACCACCCTGGGCATCTTTCCATGCAGCAGCTGGAGCTCCTCGCTAAGCTAATCAATTCCCGTCATTTGAGAAAGCAAAACAAATTTGAGATGTGCCGCCCGTCCTGTGGAGGGGCCTGATGAGGTGGTCGCGGCCTCAGAGCCAGGCCCCCCCTCCAGCTGGGCCTTCGTCGTGTGGGTGGGGCCTCTCAGGTGATGCCCACCCTCCGTGGTCAGCAGACTGGGGCTTCTTGGAGATTCTAGGAGCATCACAGCTGGAGGGACCTGGGCCTTCACCCAGAAGGGGCCACACACACGGCAGCTTTTCAGGAGTAGACAGAGAAGATGGGTGTTTGGGTGGGAAGAGGGGCGTGGAATGAGAGGCAAAGAACTGAAGTCCATTTCATAGCCTTCAGGATCCTTCCCACCTGGGCAGAAGAAACTGTACTGGGCCACCTGCTTACGTTGAATGGCACCTGACTGTCCTCCACTGGGGGACAGTGCTACCTAACACATAACCCAGAGTCTTCAGAGATGCCATTTCCTTCCTTCATTCAACAAATCCCCACTGAGCACCAATCTTAGGCCGTGGGAGTCCAGCAGGGAACGTAACAGCCGAGTCCCTGCTCCCCTGGAGTTCATGTCCACTCTGCTAGGGGGCTCTCATGGGAAGGCAGAGTGGCTGTGCCCAATTATCTGGTCATTTAAGTCCAGCAAAGGCTGTTCCCGGGACACGGAGTTGCACGTGTCAGACAGGGCTCCACTGCATCGGTGCGGTTACTACTGCTACATAAGCAACCGTCCTAACACTTAGTGATGTAGGACAGCCAGTGCATCACGCTCATGACCTCTGTGGGCGAGGACGGAGCAGGAGCCCGTGGCTGAGCTCTGCCCCGTGGTTGGAGGCCTCACCTGAGAGGACCTGAAGCCTGGGGGTCACTCCACAACTAGGGCAGGAATCCCCTGGAGTCGTCTTCACTCACCTGGCCGGTGGTGGATGCTGGCTATCAGCTGGGTTGAAAGACAGCAGGAGCTGCTACCTGTGGTCTCTCTGTGGGGGTTAGTTTGGCCTTCCTCACAACATGGCAGCTGGGTTCCAAGGACAGGTCCTGGGGGAGCCCCGTAGAAGCCCCACAGCCACAGAGCACCACTTGCACCGTGGCTCACCCAGTTTCAAGGGGAAGGAATCCACGTGCGGGGGTGGGGGGTAATGTTGAGGCCACCTTTAGCCAATACAAGGGGCCATGTGGGTTTTTAGGAGTCATAGCCTTTACAGAGCTCTCATTTCCCAAGCATGTGTACCTAGCAGCCACTGTGGTCAGCCTGCTGTGTACACCTTCCTTCTGACGCCTCTGTGGTGACTCCCATTCACCCCATTTTGCAGATGGGAAGAGTGAGGCTCAGAAAGGCGGCACTGAGTCATGCAGCTGGGATTTGCTCCCAAGTCTGTCTGCCTCGGAAGCTCTTACGCTGACTGCTACACGGCCTCTCCTCTTCGTCCTTCGGTGATCTTTCCCCCCACACCCTAAGTGTGGTGAGAGGCTTAGACAAGCAGCTGGGGAGTGGAGCGTTCAGATCTAAGAAGGCCTCTCGGCAGAGGTGACATTGAGTGAGGCCTTTAAAGACGCTTTAGGTTTGGACACCTGGGGAAGGGAGTGGCATTCTTAGTGGAGTAGATAGAGGGACCCCCACATCACCAAGGGGTGCTGCTGTAACTGGCCCAGAATCATGGCCTTTGACCCTGTAACACACCAACACATTGGAAACTGTTCCACCCTAAAAAGAAGGCTGAGTCTGGGAGGGATGGACTTAGTCCCCTGAAAAAATGCCAAAGTGGCCCCCGTCCCTCTCCACTATATTACCATCAGCTTCCTTTCCAGGCTGGGAATGGGGCCAGACTCCCACAGGCCCCCAGCCCCCCCTTCCGCGTGCAGGCTTTGTCTCGCTCTTTGGAGATGGAGTGAGTCGGAGCCACCTCTGGCTCACACTCAGGAGTCTCTGCTAATACAAATCGGCCTCTGCGCAGTTAGTTATCTCTTCATCGGGCTCGCTTTAGGGCACTGCAAAGAGTGAAATTTAATTCTTTCATTGATAGGAATCGTGCATATTACAGAGCTGTGCCCACCTCCTCCAGGCCTCTCTCCCTTTAAAGTCTTCTGCTGCACCCTCTTCCTCCCCCTCCCACTGGCATACCCCCTTGCTCACTCTGATCATCTCTTTCTTTGTTTCCCTAGTTGGGTCTCTGTCTTCCCCACCAAATACCCCTCTTCTTTGTCTCTGCCCTGATCTCTCCCATGTCCTGTCTCTTTGTCTTTATTTCCCTCCTTCCCCTCACCCTCTCTTACTTTCTCTGGGCTAACGGCAGCCCCCTCTCTTCCCGGACAGACTGTCTAATTGAAATGGAGCACTCTAGAGAATGTTAATAGGAAAGACAGCATTAATTAGCCAGCTCTGGCATAATTAGCTTCCTTCTCTCACTGCCTGGCATCTAACTGGATAATGAGTCTCTCTCCGCCCAAACAGAGGGCAGGCAGGACAAGGGGGACAGGCCATGCCCAGGGATGCCAGAAGGCCTCCTGCCTTCAGGCCACCCTGCTGGAGTTCTCAGGCTGCCCAGCCTTGCCCTTTCTTGCTGGGCCCTCCTGCTGCTTGTTCCCAAGGCTCAGGGAGACAGATGCCTGGCCCCTGCCCATGCCCAAAGGTTTGACGTTGCCGGAGCTGCATGTTAAGTGGTCTGAGCCTGACAAACAGTGGTCACAGCTGCAGTGTCCCACAGAAGGGGTGGGGGGGGGTACTGAGAGATCTTGAGAAGTATGACCTGCATCCAGCCCTGGCGCAGCTGCATGGGCAATTGCTGAGCACGTCCCAGTCCCCCAAAGGGGAGCAAAAGAAATCTGTTTATGTGACAGAAAATAACTCATGTACTGCACGGGCTGCAGAGCGCTTCCCCCCTCAGCCTTCCCCAAAGTCGTGTGCAGCAGGAACAGCCGCCTCTGTTGCACAGAGACTGAAGTTCAGGGAAATTCACTGTCTTGCCAATGTTCACACGGTCGGGACCGAATCTGAGGTCCCGTGTCCCAAAGATCATGTTCTTTCCCTTCTACCTTGGTACTTCTAGAAGTTACTTTATAGTCGCTCATCAAATAAAAGTCATTGAATTGGCCTTGAGTTCTAAAATCAGAGAATGCAGCAAAAACTGGGAAATCATGCATAGTCAAAACTTCCCTTGGATATCCCTTGCACAGGGAGGGATAGCTCTTCTGTTGACACTTGGGCTGTGAGTCTCCTTTTTCTGTGGCCTTGAAAGCCACATCTAGTTGAGGGGAGTGATGGGCAAATAGGATTTTTCCTTTTGTTTTATGCACATGTGGTTGAGTTCAGTTGAGTTAAATGCCTGCTTGATGCAATTCCATTGTAGTGTTTGTACTTGGTTATGCTTGGGCAAGGTTAATGCCAACTGCTAAGCGACTGCCTGTAGCCATGGTATCCTCTCCCTCTTCTGTAGGCTATGGACTCGGAGGATGACCCGTTGTTGCAGGATGTGTGGCTAGAGGAGGAGCAGGAAGAGGAGGAAGCAACAGGTGAGGCCTTTAGGAGAGCTCAGAAACCAGGGCCTCAGGCTGGGGCAGGGGGACAGTGTTGCTGGCGGCACTGGACCTTGCCCTCTCGGCCCCCAGCCTCGGGCTTCTGGAGTACCTTGGGTTGGGCCTTTACCAATCCGTGCTGTGCGGGGCTGGTGCTCTTCCTGGGCTGCAGCATCCCCATGGCCCTGTCAGCCTTCATGTTCCTCTACTACCCGCCGCTGGACATTGACATCTCCTACAACGCCTTTGAGATCCGAAACCACGAGGCCTCCCAGCGTTTCGATGCCCTTGCACTGGCACTTAAGTCCCAGTTTGGGTCCTGGGGACGTAACCGGCGTGACTTAGCTGACTTCACCTCTGAGACACTCCAGCGCCTCATCTCAGAGCAGCTGCAGCAGCTGCATCTCGGCAACCGCTCGAGAAGGGCCGCCAGGTTCCCAAGCTCTATCCCTGTGGTCCCAGCGTCTGGCCCAGGCCCGGGGTGGGACTTCTCTGCCTCTGGGAAACCAGCGGCCAATCGGAGTAGGCGTCTTCGAAGGGAATCCACCGTGGTGGATCTGGCAGCCAACCAGAGTGAAGCTCCGATGGGCCGGGGGCTGGACAAGCATGGGCGGTGCCAAGTGGATACTCCGCCCACCATGACCAATCAGAGCCGTGCGCGACGGGGCACCTCGCGTTGGGACTATTCTCGCGCCTATGTGAGCACCAATACCCAGACTCACGCGCACTGGCGAATCGAGCTTATCTTCCTGGCACGCGGCGATGCAGAACGGAACATTTTCACCAGTGAGCGTCTGGTGACAATCCACGAAATTGAGCGCAAAATCATGGACCATCCAGGCTTCAGGGAGTTCTGCTGGAAGCCCCATGAAGTGCTCAAGGACCTACCACTAGGCTCCTACTCCTACTGCTCCCCGCCCAGCTCACTCATGACCTACTTCTTCCCCACGGAGAGGGGCGGCAAGATCTATTACGACGGCATGGGCCAGGACCTGGCAGACATCCGGGGTGAGAAGACCAGAGTGTGCTTTGGGTGGGGCCTGTACGGGGCAGGGTCTGAAGCAGCCTGGGGTTGGGTTTGTAAAGGGTGACGCCTGAATGAGACTAGGAACTCGGCTCGGTGGGGTTAATTGGGAGATTTGACTCTTGGTTCAGCATTTTAGAGGCAGGTAGGAGGAGGGGAGAGACTTGGCTGAGAAGCGGAGTCAGCCTGGAGCTGAGGGCTGGCAGGCCTGAGGATTCAATGATAAAGGGTTAGTAGCAGGATTGTGTGTGAGATAAATCCGAGACAGGCAAGGAGGGAGGTTTGGGCGCTGCACTCTGGATTGAGGGACATTGGGAGTTACGCTGTGACGAATCAGAGACAGCTTGGAGTGGGGCTTGGGGAAGAGGTCTGTTAGCGGGAAGCCTGGGTGGGGTTGCCCAGAGCCAGGCGTCTAATCAGAGGAAGAAGATAGGGCAGTGGCTGGAGCTGAAGGAAGTCCGAGGTCATGTTGGCGGTAATTTAGGGATGGGACTTGAAGGATGGAGCAAAGCCAGGTGTAGGGATGGGGCTTGGGTGTGCCTTTAAGGGGGGCATGGGTAGGATTCCAGACAGATGAAGGTGGGACTGCAGAGATTGAGTCTTAGAATTAGCTGAGATTCAAACAGAAATGAAAACATCAGCTTAGTGGGAGCCGCCTGGAGGGCAGGTCTGAGACTTCTCTAAACCGTCCCTCTGTGCGTTGGAGGCAGATTGAGGGGGAGTTTCTCAGTTCCTTAGAAGAGGTGAGGTGTGGAGGAAGGTAGGATGGCCCTGATGGAGGGCTGGTGGAAGTTGACCCCTGAGTTCCTTGACCCCCACCCCACCCCACCCCGCACCTGCAGGTTCCCTGAAGCTGGCCATGACCCACCCCGAGTTCTACTGGTACGTGGATGAGGGGCTCTCTGCAGAAAACCTCAAGAGCTCCCTCCTGAGGAGTGAGATCCTGTTTGGAGCACCCCTGCCCAACTACTACTCTGTAGATGACCGCTGGGAGGAGCAGCGCTCCAAGTTTCAGAGTTTCGTGGTCACCTACGTGGCCATGCTGGCCAAGCAGTCTACTAGGTAGGAGATCCCGCCACACTGGTGCATGCCTGTCCGTGTGTATACCAGTAAAGGGCTTTATTAGGGTAGGGAATTGGTTTCCAGGTACTTCTTTCTCATAAGGCCCAGATCCCCTTCCCTGCAGCCTTTTCCCTGGGCAGTCTTTCTTCCCAGATCAGGGGCAGAGCCAGCTGTGTCCTTGCCACCCCTCTGACAGGCTTGTCGGAGGCTCCTTTCCTTGATCATCACTAACGATTAGTGAACATAACTCTGGAGGAGGCAGGAAATTCCGGAACTCTTGCCCTGGAGTTCTTGGGTATTGATTTTCTCCTGCAGTGGTGCTTGCGGGCTTTCTGGAAAGAGCGTTAACTAGGGATTAAGGAGCTGCTCTCTTCCTCTAATATCCAGGGAGGTCGTTGACCAGTCACCTTGTTTCTCCTTCGTTTTCCTACTTGTATAAAGGGGGAAAGGGAGGGATGAGTCCAGCTACCCTTCTGGAGCCAGGAGGAAATGAGCTAAGAGATTGAACAGTGGATACTTTGGGCAGTGGATGCTTTAGTTATCCTCCAAGCCTTGGGATGTGTGTCTGAGAATACAACTGGGCTGCTTTCACCCAGCAAAGGGCATTAGATTGTTTATCCGTCAGCCCTCTGGCTGGCAACTCCACTGCCCTGCAGGCCCCTACCCCGCCCACTTAGCCCAGGGCATGTTCTTTCCGTGACTCATCCATTAATTAGATGGAGCCGGTGCTGGAACAACCAGAGTTAACATTTATCGAGCGCTTGCTCCAGGCCACGCACTGTTCTAAACCCTTTACACACACTATCTCATTTTAATTCTCACACCCACCCAATGAAGTAGGTGCTGTTATGATTATCTCCGTTTTACAAGTGAGGAAACTGAGGTACGCCACCATTAAGTTGTTCAAAATTACCCTTGAAGAAGCGGAATGGGATTAAAATCTGGATTTTCTAGTCCAAAGCCCCCGCCCTTTGTGTTTTTTGTGCCGGTTGCTGCTTTAGGAGCTGCTCCCAGCCCTGCTTGGCCAGGAAAACCCATTTACACACTGAGACCCATCCTGGGAGGCTTTTCCCCGAGGATGGAGTAACTGCCTTCCTACCCACTGACACAGTCCCCTCCGTTCTCCCTAAGGGAGCAGGAACGAGCCTACACAGGCTGCGGAGTCAGATGTGTCTGGGGTCAGGCCCCTCTGACTCCACTCGGCTGTGGGAGTTTCAGTGAGCTATTTCACCTGTCTGAGCTACAATTTCATCATAGCCCTTGTCCACCTGTATTGTAGCTGTTAAATTCCTCGTCAGTCAAGGCGCAGTCCTCGAGTCAGCAGCACCTGCAGCACCGCGAGGCTTGTTAGAAATGCAGAATCTCAGAATTTCCAGGCCTTTCCTAGACCTACAGGATTTCCAGATGACTTGTTTCACGTTAAAGTTTGCGGAAGTTTGGTTTAATTATGTCTTAATAGAGTATAAGTTTGTTGAGGGCTAGGATTGTTCTTGGCTCATTTCTATGTGCCAGGAACACCTATTAAAGGATTTGTTTGGGGGAATGGATGGATGGTGGAAGTGTGGAGGGAGGGAGGAGCCCTGGGGAAAGGTACTCGCCTCGGTTAGGAAGTGGGGAGGGGCTGGTGGTAGAAGGATCGCCAGGGGTTCCGATACCAGCCATCACCTCTGCCTGATATGCTCAGCTGCTGAGGCAAAACCCCCACCCCGATTAAAAAGCCTCTCTCCCCCTTTCTGTTCCCCCAGTGCTTCATGGGAATGGTGGCAACCAGGCCCCTTGCAGACTTGACTTAGTACCTTCTTTTGCATTAATAATCTTTTCTATTATTCTATTATTGGTTACCTAAGAGATGGCCTCATGCACCTTGATTTATTACAGAATAATACAAATTATCACTTTTCCTACTTTCTGGTTAATACTAGAATCTTAGAACACAGCTCACTGCATTTATAATCCTTTAGCCTTTTGCATTTTTATTGCATGTGTTTTAATTCTATATATATATTTAAACTCATAAGACATTACAGTATTATTTTGCCAAGTCACTATGCATTTATATTTATTCACATGTTTACCTCATTTGTTGCTCTTCATTACTTTACAATTTTATGTTTCCCTCTGGGATTTTTTTTTCGTACCTAAAGAACTCTCTTTAGATTTGTTTTGTTTTTGTTTTTGTTGTTTTCCTTTAGTGCAGGTGTGTTGGTGATAAATTCTCCTTTGTTTGCCTAGAAAACATCTTTATTTTACTTCTATTTTTTAAGTAAAATAATTTTATTTGAAGTGTTTCTGCTGGTATAGAAGTATAATTTGGCAGTTATTTTCTTTTAATACTTTAAAGACATTGATCCATTGTGCCATGACTTCAATCGTTTCTGTGGAAAAGTCATCTGTCAATCTTTTTGTTGCCCCTTTGAATGATTGTCTTTTTTCCCTGTGGCTGCTTTTAAGCTTTCTCTTCGTCTTTTATGTCACCAGTCTTACCAAGATTTATGTTGGCCTGGTTTTCTTTGTTCTGCTTGGGGTGCACAGAACTTCTTGAATGGGTTGATAACTTTCATCAGTTTTAGGAATTTCCTGGCTATTGCCTTTTTGAATATTGCCACTACCTCACTTTCTGTCCCTTTTCCTTTTATTTTTTAAAATATTTTATTTATTTATTTTTAGAGAGAGAGGAAGGGAAGGAGAAAGAGTGGGAGAGAAACATCAATGTGTGGTTGCCTCTCATGTGTCCCTCACTGGGGACCTGGCCTGCAATCCAGGCATGTGCCCTGACTGGGAATCGAACCAGCGACCTTTGCTTCACAGGCTCATGCTCAATCCACTGAGCTACACCAGCCAGGCCCTTTTCCTTTTAGGATGCTAATTACACACATGTTAGCTCTTCTCATTGAGTTTCACGTGTTTCTAGGTTTTTCTTTTTTATTTTTTCCCCCTGTGGTTTGGTATTTCAGTTCACTGACCTGTCTTCTGTTGTATCTACTCTGCCATTTGCGTGGCTAGCTCCCGATCCTCCTCCAAGTGTTGACAGCCATCTCTAATCCACTTCCATCTTTCTCTCTCCACGCTCCTCCCTTCCCCTAGCAAAGTCCAGGTTCTTTATGGGGGGACAGACCTCTTTGATTATGAAGTGCGCAGAACCTTCAACAACGACATGCTCCTGGCCTTTATCAGCAGCAGCTGCATCGCCGCCCTTGTTTACATTCTCACCTCCTGCTCAGGTAGGGCTTCTCTGCAGGTCTTGTTCTCTCCCAGGGTGCTCCTACCTGGTCAGCTGGCGGGGAGGGGTGCTCAGAAATCACTTTCCATCTTCAGGCAGGTAGACTGAGGTCCAGAGGCAGGTGGGCCTTACCTGAGGGCCCCCCCTGCTCCTACGACCTCACACAGTTGCACATTTTGCCCTTTGACCATCTTTTTCTTGCTGGTGACCCTGTTTTTCAGAGTCTAGAGAATTGGACCCTGGTCATGGATTATCCCCTTGTTACGGGACACTTTTACAGTCCCAAGTCAGCCACACTTTTGTCTCCCATTTACTTTGCCAGCACCACCGTCCCGTGCAACCTAGCTGCTTCTTACTGTGTATACAGTAGGAACTCTGTGTTGCCTACACAAATGAAAGATCGCTAATATTTTTAAATGTTTTAAATATTTTTAAAAAGACATTCGTTCATCCATGCAACAACTATTGATTGGGCACCAACTCTGTGCCTGATGCTCGAAGCAGGGTGTCAAACTCATTTTCACAGGGGCCATGTCAGCCTTGTGGTACCTTCAAAGGGCTGAATGTAATTTTAGGACTGTATACATGGAACTACTCCTTAACTAGGGGCAGGGAGCTCAGGGCTGCTGCCCGGTAGAAACAAGGTGGTGGGCCAGATAAAACAAGGTAGAGGGCTGGATTCAGCCTACGGGCCTTGCATTTGCCAGCTGTGCTCTACAGTGTCATGGGTAGACTTCCTACTCCCACAGAACCTTTGTCTACTGGGGTGATAAGCATTAAATAAGTACATAATGTTTGTAATTTCCTACTTGCCCTTGAATAAGTTCTGCAAAGATGAAGGGCCGTGACAAACTGCCTACTCAGACACGGCTCCCTCTGCCACTCGGGCCTCTGGCTTGGCTCCTTCTCCGAGCATGAAATGTGCAGAACGAAAACAGGGTGGTGAAGGGTACTCTGCAATGGGGGGAGTGAGGCAAGACCAGCAGGGTTAGGGACACTAAGGGGGGATGTGTGTTCCAAGGGGTCCACCCACCCTATTCCCTATCCCCTTGTTCCACCAGTGTTTCTGTCCTTCTTTGGGATTGCCAGCATCGGCCTCAGCTGCCTGGTGGCCCTCTTCCTGTACCACGTGGTCTTTGGTGTCCAGTACTTGGGCATCCTCAATGGCGTGGCTGCCTTCGTGATAGTGGGCATTGGTGAGTTGCCTCCATTGCCATAGCGATGGGCTTCCCACTTGAGAGCTCTGCCCCAGAAAGAGGCTTCTCTCTGGATGCAAAGGCTGGCTTCCATGGAGTCTCCAGAAAGGCCCGGTCAGACCTAGGGGCCTCAGAGTGTGGTAAGGGGTAGAGTACGAGTGATAGGCAGACCCCCCCTATATATGGTGAACCCACACGGGGTAGAAGGAGCAGGAGAGTGGGCTGAGTAGAGGTTTAGAATGGTGTGGAAAATCTAGGAAAGGTGGGAAGGAGGCAAAGATTTGGAAGAAGGAGCTTAGTTCTGGCATGGGGGGCGGGGCAAAGAGCGTGGAGGAGGGGCTTGGATTCTTGGTGGGCGGAGCCAAAGTCAGGTGGGTTTTCCCAAACTCCACTCTGAGAAGCAGGGTCCCCTGGAGCCTGAACTCTCAGGGGTCCTCTCAGGGTTGGTCTAGGCCCAGCCGGGGTCTGATCCCGGAGACAACAGAGTGATCCTGAGCCTGTCCCTGCTGGACCGGGGTTCCCTCCTACAGGTGTGGACGATGTCTTCGTGTTCATCAACACCTACCGCCAGGCCACCCACCTGGAAGACCCGCAGCTTCGGATGATCCACACCATCCAGACGGCAGGAAAAGCCACCTTCTTCACCTCCCTGACCACGGCCGCCGCCTACGCAGCTAATGTCTTCTCCCAGGTGGGGGAGCACCATCCGTCCCTGTTCTGGCCTCCCTGTGTCCCCCATACATACCTGGCCCCTGGCCTCTGCTCTCTCACGACCCCTTCTCTCGTGGCCACACAGCCTTTGCCTCAGGCACTTGCCACGTCAGTAAATTCGTTTTTGTTACTCATCACCATCACCAGAACTTGGCAAATGGGAAAATTGTCATAATACAAATAGTATTTATTATGAATGCTCATTGATAGTAATCCAGCATCTACCCTGAGGTGCATTTGGCAGTTTCCAACGGCCTTTTGCAGTTAGTCCTTGTGATAAACTTATGATAAAGGTATCATTACATCCCTATTTTCCTGATATCCATAAACTGAGGCCCAGAGAGGTAAAGTGACTTCCCCAAGGTCACACAGCTGGTAAGTGGTGAGCCTGACCAAGTCTCCTGGCCCCTGCACTCTTTCCACCCTCTGGCTTCATTCTGCATTGTCACCACTCACATTGACTTTCCTCTCGCTGACCCCGGACTCCTCCAGGCGTCTGAGTTGGGCTCAGGAGAAGGGCTGAGTTCGGGCCAGCTTGTTGGTGCTGACAGAACCTGAAAGGAAGTGAGCCCACCCGAGTCTTTGAGAGATTTTATCACCTGGGCTGAATGTCCCATCTAGAAACCCGTGGATGCTTTAGGCTTATCCAGGTCTAGAGAACCACATCCAGGAAACAGGCGGCGCTGAGTCCAAATCCTTCCCCTGCCATTTACTGGCTGTGTGACCAGAGGCAGGTTGTTTAACCTCTCTGAGCCTCACTTTCCTCATGTGCGGATTATGCAGAGACTGAAATGAGGTGATTGGGAAAGTGTTTCACAAACAGTGAAGGCTTGTCTGCTTGTTGGCTAGTTAGCTTCTGACAGCCACACCCCCGTGCAGGCCCCTGTCACGCCTCTGGAGCACACCCACTGCCCCATGGCCACAGGCTCCCTAGTCCCATTGCAGGGCAGCGTTCCCTCCCTCCCGGACCCAGCTGTTCCCGTGAGGACAGTGACCGGCACTAGCTCTGCACCGGGCATGTTCCAGGCAGTGGGCGGCAGCACAGATAAGAGCCTTCACCCTGGGGGTGGGGCTCTTCCTCCTGTCGCGTCCCCTGGCACCAGCCCTTGCCCTCCATTGTCCTCCTGGGCCAGCGGCTGTCTTCCCAGCAGCCTGGGTCCCCTCGTCCTGCCTTAGGGAGTGGTCTGGCCTCCCGAGTGCCTTTGGCTGCAGAGTCTGTGGGCTCCCTGGGCTGCAGGCCCATATCCTTCTACCTCTCCATCGCCAGATCCCGGCCGTCCATGACTTTGGCCTGTTCATGTCTCTCATCGTGTCCTGCTGCTGGCTGGCTGTGCTCTTCACCATGCCTGCTGCCCTGGGCATCTGGAGCCTCTACATGGCACCACTAGAGGGCGCCTGCCAGACCAGGTGAGCTGGGGGGGCAGGGATGGGGGGCATGGGCAGGGGCATGTCTTCCCCCCAAATATCCATAACAGGCCCTTTGATTCATTATTGAACCCCTTTTGTATGGCCAGTCCTCTGCTGGGCGCCACTGAGGGGACAAGGGAAAGAGAACCCTGTGGGGTGGTTACCGTTTGTGACCACCTGCTGCGATTTGGCGCTGATTATATTGACACCCTTCCCCCTGGAGCCATGGAACTGTGTCCTCTCATTCTGCCCATTTTACAGATGAGGAAACGAGGGTTTGGGGAGGCTAAGTTTCCCTAGGTCACCCATTCAGTGGGCAGCAGAGCCTGGACTAACTGAGGACTGTCTGACTCTGGATCCTATGCTATTAGCCACCACGTGGAACGTCCTCAAGTTCCTCGTCTTGGTGGAGAAACAATATTTAGACATAGGAGCCAAGTGCAAAGTTGGACAGGCCAGTCTGGAGCTGCTGCCAGAGGTGGGGGGCCAGGATAGGGAGGGAGGGGAGACAGGGAACGGGGTCTGGCCTGGGCCCTGGGCGGCCGCCTGGGCTTGGGAGGACGAAGGAACGATGGAGAGTCTCTGACCTGGGGGCGGGGTACACCAAGGCAGGAGTGTCGGGCACCCACGGTGATTTCCACCTGACCCCGTGAGCCAAGGAGTGGCAGGAGGGAGCCGGAAGCTCAGCAGGGAGCTCGGAGTCGGGCCCTCAACTGAGTTCTTGGCTCTTGCGCTCACACCCTCCCCTCTGGGGGCGGAGGGGGGGCACTGCCCAAGGTTGCTCCAGCCAGGCCCTCTCCGTGGGCATTCCGTTGTGATGACTTCTGTGACGGTTTTATAACATAGAAGCAAAATGTCTTGGGGGTGGGTGCCTTGTTCTAATCTCTGCAGAGAGACCTAATAAGCCCCGCCCCACCCCTCCCCAGCCCCAGCCTGGGGCAGCAGCCACAGAGGACACAGTGGCCAGTCTTCCCAGGCCTGGGCTCCAGCCTCAGCCTCTCCGCCCGGCAGCTCTGGGGCCCAGGGCGTATTCCTCAACCTCCCTGCATCTCGACTTCCTTCTCTGTAAAGCGAGTGTAACTCCGTGTAGGGTTCCTGTGAGGATTAAGTGGGAGTCCACAGGGGGCACATGGTCACTGCCTGGCACGTGGCACTCGTTATGTTTGCCGTGTGCTTAGTCTCGTTACTGGGTGAGCTCCGTCTGCCCCACGTTCACTCCAGCCACGGCCGACACGCCCAGTGCAGCCCTGCATCCTCCTCCTCCTGGGTCGCAGCCCTGGGGCCACCTGCCAACAGAGGCAGCTCCCTGCGTTGGTCACCTTGATAAGTGGGGGGTCTGTGTGTTGCCGTCCCCTCTCTGGGTCCTGGCTGCTGTCACCATTTGTCTTCCTGGAGGAACAGTGGTTCCTGCGGGCCCTGGGGAAGATGGCGCTGGGAAGAAATCAGGCACTGGTTTCTGGAATGTCCCAAGTGCGATGCCAGCAGCGGTGTGAGACCGGGGTTCCTGTGGTAGCCAGGACCCTGTCCCGCCCTCCCCGGCCACCCAGGGCCATCAGGGCTCACCCCTCACCCCCACTCTCTCCGTAGCTGCCACCAGAAGTGTGGCCGCAAGAGCTCCCTGCACATCCCCGGGGACATGTTCGCCACTCCCGAGAGGGCTGGGGACAGCCCAGCCCAGGGCCCCATGCCCTACCTGGACGACGACATCCCCTTGCTGAATGTGGAAGAAGAGCCAGGTAGGAGGGAGCAGGCCTGCCCCCACCCCATGAGACCTGGATGTGGCTTCTGCCAGGGGAGGTGACTCTTGACAAGGCGGTTTGAGGACAGGCTGGACCTGAGGCAGGGGGCTGCACCAGGTGGTCTGGGGGCAGAGAGGGTGAAGAGCAGGGTGGGCTTGGACTTGGTCTGGGCCGAGCCTCTCACGAGCCACTGCTCTGCACCGGCAGTGTCTCTGGAGCTGGGCGACGTGTCTCTGGTGTCTGTGCCCCCCGAGGGTCCACAGCCGGCCCCTGACAGGGGCAGCCGGGGGCAGCTCATCGCTCACCTGCAGGAGCTGCTGCACCACTGGGTGCTGTGGTCAGCTGTCAAGAGCCGCTGGGTGATTGTGGGTAAGTGGGCTCCGCACCCTCCTTCTTCTCTGCCTTGTAGCTTCTATCCAGTGTCAGAGTGTGGGGGGCAGACTCCCCCAAAGAACATGTAGGCGTTGGGAGCCCGCCCCATCCTGCAAATGAGCTGGAGGTCAGAGACCTGGGCTGGCTGGCGTCCCTCATTCGCTCTCAGCCTCACTTCCTCCCTTTGTGGAATGTAGCTGGTCCGCAATAGCTTTTATTTATTGAGCACCTACTACATGCCAGTCATCATGCTGGACCATACAGCAGAGCACTCAGTGCTTAGGCTCTGGAGTTAGACCAGCTTGGCTGAGTTGGACTCCAAATCCTACCAAGTGCTAGCTGGGTGACCTTGGCTGTGTCCATCAGTCTGAGCCTCAGTTTCCTGTGCTGTGATTGAGATAAAGTCAGGCAGGATGAGGTCAGGGCAGGCAGATTGTGGAAGAGAAGCCACAGTGCATGTAACAAACTTAGCCCAATGCAGTAAGTGCTCAGTAAACTATAAATGCGGCTACTGTTCTTGTTGGCAATAGGATTTAGGGTTGTGTACAAACGAATGAGCCAGCTCTTTATAAACTAAATGTGCTAAGATAGTGGCTGGTTTTTGTTCAGGAGTGTGAGCTTGGAGCTTATCATCTGACTCCCAGGTGATACCCAGCAACCCACCCCAACCCTGGGACGATCGCTAGCCAGCTTCGCCCACAGGCTGCCAGGCTGGGGCCCGCCCACTCCTGTGGCAGCCCTTCCCGCTGCTCCCCCATCCAGGGAGCAGCTCTGTGTCAAGGCTCCGTAGGCATTGCCTGGGCCCCAGCCCCGCCTGGTGCGGTGTCCTTTTGTCACAGGGCTCTTTGTCTCCATCCTCATCCTGTCCCTGGTGTTCGCCAGCCGGCTCCGCCCCGCCAGCCGAGCCCCGCTGCTCTTTCGGCCTGATACCAACATCCAGGTGCTGCTGGACCTCAAATACAACCTGAGCGCCGAGGGCATCTCCTGTATCACCTGTTCAGGTGAGGGTTTCCATCCGGGGGTCCTCTGTGGGCCCCAGCTCCCTCTCGAGTCCAGGTCTCAATGGCCATTGGCCTGAGAGATGTGAGACCCACACTCAGCGTTTCTGTATTTCATTAAATATTTACTAGGTGTCCACTGCCTGGCACTGGGGACACCACAGTGGGTAGGACAGGCTTCCCAAGCTCAGGGAGTTCATTCCACTGCTAGGAGCCAGCCATTGAAATAGTAGATCTGGATGGGAATGGTTAGCTGGGAGGGAGAGACAGTGGGGCCTGGGACTAGGGTGTTGATGGTGGCAGTGGAGTCAAGAGACATTTCCCAGAACTCAGTGACAGGATGTCTCGGGGAGGAGCAAGGAAATGAAATAAAGATGTCTCCCTGCCTTAGAGGGAGCCTGGGCCGGGCCCTCATTTTACGGAGGCAGGCAAGTCGACCCAAGGTCGTACAGCTTTGCCAGAGCAGTTAGAAACCAAATGAGAAGATGCTTGGGCGAACGCGTTCAGCTCCTGGGAGAAGATCCGCTGACTGCTGTAATTGCCTTCATCTAATTAGGGTGGTGTTCAGATTAACTTGGCCTTCCCCTTGGTAATGGCATTAGCCAAATGCATGGTAATTGACTGCAGCTCAGAGAGGTGCCCGAGGAGCCCCTCCTAAATTGGAGCCAGCCTGGGCCGCGCCCCCGGCTCCCCTCCTGCCCGCCTGGGCATACAAATTAAACTCCATTATCACTGCTGCTACAAGGGCTCCTGCCATCCCTCAGGGCCTGGAGGCCAGAAGCCACATCCACTCCCATTGCACAGATGGACAAACCGCAGGGTGATCCTGAGGTTCCTGGAAGCATCTGGAGAAGGGCCAGGCCCTCAGTCAGAGTCCAGCCTCTTTTATCTCTTAGCACTCTGGACTGCCTCTTAAAGGGACCCTTCACATTGTGGCAGAGAGCTTCACCTGGAGGGGCAGACAAGACCCGGCCCTGATGGGGCTCTGCCTCTCTGACCCTCTGCTGGTCCCGTAACATCCCTGACCTTCTGCTCCCTTCCCTGTCAGGTGGGGTTAACAACAGTGACCTCCTAGGATTATTGTGAGGATTAAGTTTTTGAAGGTATAAAATTGCTGTCATTAAAAAGCAAAACTTATCCACAATGCTTGGGCAAAAGAGGAAATTCCCCGACCACCTCTGCTAGCTGGTAACCTTCCGTTCCTGACCGCCCCTGACCAGTGCTGTGACTGAGCATCTGTCACGAGCTACGAGCTTGAGAAGTAATGTTCCACTCGGTCCTCAGCCACTGTCTGGATGGACGGTGTGGTCCCATTCGACAGGAGGAGAGCGAGGCCTGCGGGTGGGAGAAGGGAAAGCTTCAGAGCGTCCCTGGCTGGCACATGCTTTCTCTTGCTTAAGGTTCCTGTAAATTCAGTACTTGGTGTTTTTTTCCATTCAGTTCCATTTGATTTCTTTGAGACCTCTGACACTCCCCAAGCCGAGGGCGGGACAGGAGCCCCCATCGGCCTGCAGCAGCTCCCGTGTCCCTGGGGTTGTCCCCAGTCCCAGCCTCTGCCCTCCCCCACTGGGCCCAGTGGGGATGGCCCTGCAGCCCCTGACCCAGCTCGGTGGGGGGCAGGTCTCTTCCAGGAGAAGCCCCACAGCCTGCAGAGCAACATCCGCACGTCCCTGGAGAAGAAGAAGCGGGGCTCAGGGGTCCTGTGGGCCGGCCGGCCCGAGACCACCCTGCAGGGTCAGTGGCCTGCCTGGGGCAGGGGTGTTGGGGGACCCTGCCTGGTGCCAGGGTTGGGGGGCCCTGTGAGGAGAGCAGGCTGAGGTCTCCTGGGAGACCAGAGCTGTGTTCTTGGGCCACTGTGGGTGGGTTGGATAGCTGCTGAATTCGGGGTGAACCAGGCTCCCTACCACCATCCCACCAGCTGTCCCCAGCCAGAACTGTGGGCTGCCCTCTGGCCCCCACTCCAGCCCGGCCCGTGTGCCTGTGAACCTGCCCTGTGCACCAAACTCGCCCTGAGTGGGGGAGGGCCAGGGCATTCGGACACTGGGGCTTCCGTCGGAGGTGGGGTGCTGGGACCCATGTAGGAGTTAAGTCCCCTGAAGGGCAGTTCTGTATGACCGTGGTGGTCACCCCATCTGTGCCCACCGTTGTCATTCCCAGTCCCAGGCTCACACGGCTGCCATGACCCTAGTCTGTGCCCACACAGTGTCACCAGCAACTCGCCATTGCAGGCCCTACCCGTGCCTCCACCCTGAACCGGTGACCACCACTTCATCCCTCACTATTCACACAGTCACCCCATCCTGGTGACCAAGGCCTCAGGAGGAGCTGGGGGCTCAGCTCCTCTGTTGGCGAAGAGGAGACTGCCCTGGGGTCAGGGGACGCAGCCAAGGTGATGGCGCACCCCCTCCTACCCCACGTTTGTCCCCCAGACTCCCCAGGCACCGTGTACGTCTCCAAGGTGATGAGCAGAGGCCACCCGGCCGTCTACAGGTTCTCCCTCAACGCCAGCCTGCCCGCCCCTTGGCAGATCGTGTCTCCGGGGGATGGGGAGGTGTCCTCCTTCCAGGTAAGCCCGGGCTGTTGAGAAGCGAGTCACCACGACCAGGGGAGGGGGCCCTCAATGCCCCGCTGCAGGGCACTGGCCATACAGAGAGAGGGAGGCCGGGTCTGTGAGGTGGGCGTGGCCGCAGGCCAACAGGGGCCACCCCATCCTGTCCCGCCCCGCCCCGCCCCACCCCACCTCACCTGGCCAGGTCTGTGGTGGGTCCCTGCAGACAGGTGAGAGGGCGTGCTTCCAAGTCAGCCAGTCCTGGGTTCAGGTGTTAGCTTTGCCATTTCTAGCCTGTGTGCCTTCGGGCAGATGACTTAGTCTCTCTGAGCCTCAGCTTCTTCCTCTGTGAAACGGGCTATGAAAAGTCCCAGCCAGGTTGTGGGAGACGCACGGGGTAAGGCCTGTGTGTCAGGGAGCCTCTGAGGTCCCCGAGGGCTTGATCCCCGGTTGCCATCGGTGAGAGCGCTGCTCCTGGCAGCTGCTCCGGCGCCCAGAGGAGGGCCTCTGGTTTTTTTTCAAGGGAACCATTTGTGTTTCCTTAACATGTCACAGCCTCCCACATGGCACTTAACACATGTGCCGGCACATTGGTCCACTTGAAAGATGAGGGGTCCGGGGCACTTCCTGTCTCGGAGCCTTCGAGTTGCTGTTCCCACCGCCTGGGAAGCTTTCCTCCCTCCTTCCTGTGTGCTGACCCCGCATTCGGGGGTCTGCACAAACGTCGCCTCCCACAGAGCCCTGTTCTGGCCGTCCTCTTGCCTGGCCCTCCTTCCCCCGCGCTCATCTACCCTGTGTCTTATCCTCACGGCCCTTCAGTTCCTGGCCCCTGAAAGAACCTAAAGCCACGGTTCCTGGCAGCGCACGCAGGCAGGGACCAAGCCCAGCTCACTCACTGCCGTGCTCCCCGCTCAGAACCTGGCACAGGGTCGGTGCTCGGGTGAAGGAAAGACTGAGGCTCAGAGAGGCAAGGAAGGATTGGCCTGATCTTCCCACTCGAACCCAGGTCTCCTGAGCCCCTGCCCAGGGCTCTCTCCTCCTGCACTCGGGGGGGCGGGACTGGGCGGGACAGGCAGAGGAGGGAGGGGACAGCGCTTGAATCCAGGCCCCGGGGAGGCAGCCTCCTGGAGTCACGTGTCTTGTCTCTGTCGATCCACTGCTTAGGTGTATAGAGCGCCTTTTGGTAACTTCACCAAGAAGCTGACCGCTTGTATGTCTACAGTAGGGCAGCTCCAGGCGGCGAGCCCCACCCGCAAGTGGCTGGTGACGACCTTGGCCTGCGACACCAAGCGGGGCTGGAAGTTTGACTTCAGCTTCTACGTGGCCGCCAAGGAGCAGCAGCACACCCGGTAAGAGCCCTGCCTGAAGCCTGTTCCTCCAGCCCGGCCCCCCCCCCCCCCCCCCCCCCCCCCCCCCTCCCCCCTCCCCTCCCCTCCCCTCCCCTCCCCTCCCCTCCCCTCCCCCACTTCGGCCACCCCTCCCCAGTGCTAGCAGGTACATCTAAGAAACGGTGTCCCTTTCCGCATATCAGTTCAGATATTTCTCTGCCCAAGACACAGGGGGGTGTGTGGGGACACCAGCAAAGATGGTGGCAAGCGATCTGCTCCCCTGTCGGCCTCTCTCCCTCTTGATGGGCCACACTGGCCGCCTCACTGCTCCTCAGCATGACCAGCAGTCCCTACCTCAGAGCCTTCGCATTTGCTGTTCCCTCTGCCTAGAATGCTGTTCCCCCACTCCTTGTGTGGCTCACTTCTTCTCAAGCTTCAGGCCCCAGCCCACTGTCCCCTCCTGGGAGAGGCTGTCCCCCACATAAAATAGTCACACCTGTTCTCTCCGCGACACCGCCTCTTTCTGGCCCCGTCACCGCCTGCATCATTCCCATGTACCGGCTGATTGCCGGTCTCCCCTTGGGAGCTCGGGCACGTCGACAGTGGCCACCACGACTGCCGGCCCTTGCCCGGTCCCCAGCACCCAGCACGGGCCTGGCTCAGAGCCACCGCTCCATAAACACCCGCTGAATGAGCGCATGAGTGAGCACACTCAGCGCCTCCTCTCCAAGGCACTTGCTTCACTCACGATGTAGATAATTAATTCAGAAGGCACGGAATGTCCCTCCTCAGACTGTAAGGTGACAGGAGGGACTCTGTCGTGTGTACCTACTGTATGCTATGCTCATGAAGGAAGCACCCGGAATAGTACCGCACTGCACTCTGTGCCTCGTGGCATCTTGGTCAGCCGGGGCAACTTTCCCCGGGTCCCATCCCCAAGTCCTGGGCCGGGGCCCTACCTGCGTTTTTCCGTTGACACTGTTAGTGGCCCCAGATCTTTGCTCTGCTCCCTTCACTCATTTTCACAAACCCCGAGCACTGCCCGTGTGCCAGCACCGTGCAGGTCCTGGGGATATGGCGGCGGATGGGACGGCTCGCCACCGCCCTCGGGCCGACCGGCGGGAGACAGCCACCCGCAGGTCAACCGCAGTGCCGTTCATTACAACTTATGTGCAGGCTTCAAGGGCAGTGTGGGGCCCTGCACTGGTGAGCGCCTGGGGCTGGGGTCTCTGACGGGGCCCAGCCTCGGGACCACCAGCACCCACACAAGGCCGAATGCCGCTGGGGGCCCAGCACTGAGGCACAGGGGCAGGGGGGTGACCAGAATGGGCCTGCTGGGCTTGCTCTGCACATACACAACACTGACTAGCGTCAGGCTTCCTGGATGAGCTTAGAACATTCTAGAAAGAACCTTGAGCTGAATCAAGTTCAGGGGTGAGCAAGCTGACCGTAGAACCCTTTCTTCAAAACAGAATCTTGAATCTCCATAACGGTCGCGGTTAAGGCGGGGCAGCCTGGCAGAGCTGCAGAGCAGGGGCCCCTGTGTGAAGTCTCACACCTCAGGAGGCCGATTTGGGAACTGCAGCTCGCCAACCCTCATGCCACCGGTGGGGGGAGAACCTTGTAAGAGGAGGACCTTGAGCAGTCAGTCCCACACAGTGGGCATTGGCAGGGGCTGGACAAGAGCGAGCCTGCGGACCCCAGACCCCTGTGCTGGGCGAGCCCAAGGCTATGGCATGTGACCCCACCTCCCCCAGTCCTCCTGGCCACCCGACCTCAGCCCCGCCTCCCTTGCCTCCACAGGAAACTGTACTTCTCGCAGTCCCACAGGCCGCCCTTCCACGGGCGCGTGTGTGCTGCGCCTCCCGGCTGCCTGCTCAGCTCCAGCCCCGATGGGCCCACCAAAGGCTTCTTCTATGTGCCCAGTGAGAAAGGTACACTCAGGGAGGCGGCAGTGGGACCTGGGGGGCTGGGCGCCACCTCCACTGCAACGGCGACTCCCCCCGCAGGGCCCAGGGCCCGCCTCTCGGCCACCTTCGGCTTCAACCCCTGCGTGAATACAGGCTGCGGGAAGCCGGCAGTGCGGCCGCTGGTGGACACGGGCGCCATGGTCTTCGTTGTCTTTGGCATTGTGGGCATCAACCGCACACGGCAGGTGGACAACCACGTCATCGGGGACCCGGTACGTGGGCCCACTCGGAGCAGGTGCCAAAGGTCCCATCCAACCTTCCCCAGGCCGCACAGGACCCTCACGGGTCCCTGGGTGTCCTTTCTCTTGAGGACTGAGCACAGCTGAGTTCTCAGAATCACCCAGGAGTCTGAACACATGTGGGGGCCTGAGCTGGCTGTCCCTCCACATTCGGGCTGGGATAGAGGTGAGGGCAACACACGTGTGTAAAACCACTGCCCCGCCTGCTGCAGGCACCCCCGCCCTGTGGGGCCTCCCTCCCCTGGTGTGTGTCTGTGTTCCATGCTGGCTCTCGGGTGTTGGAAGGGAGGGGCTGTGACGAGGGCTGTGCCTGGGTCATGACAGGAGCTGGGCGAGTGCTGGGAGGGGCTGGATCAGGCACGAAGGCGCCGCCGCCTTGAGAAGTCAGTCCAGCGGGGAGCCCAGGGTCAGGCATGAAGTGACCTGGGGCAGCGGTACCCCAGGTCAGAGGACCTCAGCCTGTTCAGTTCAGAGGAGGGCTGGGCGGGGCCCGGCCTCCTCCCAGGGGAGATGGGGAGAGTTTGGCTGTGCGGAGGCAGAGGACGGCAGGAAGCCCAGGGGAGAGGGTCGTGAGTGAAAGCAAGGATGTGAAGCCAAAGGGGCCCGTGTGGGGTGGGCAGTAAGGGGAGCAAATGGTGCCGCTGGGGGCAGGCTTGGGCTGGCTTGGGCGGGGACCCCAGGGCACCACGCCCAAGACTCCAACTTGGTGGTAGCGATAACGGGGACCCAGGACCGAGTTCCTGACTCACTGAGCAGCCTGCGCCGGCTTGTGTCTCCTTGGGAAAGGGCAGCGTCATCTATGACGGCAGCTTTGACCTCTTCAAAGAAATTGGGCACCTGTGTCGCCTCTGCAAGGCCATCGCGGGGAACGCAGAGCTGGTGAAGCCAGGCGGCGCCCAGTGCCTGCCCTCAGGTGTGCTGGGAGTCAGCTCCTCCCAGGGAGGGGGGACTGGGGTCCTGCAGACGTGTTTCTGTGCACGAGCGGCCACCCTGGGGCCAGGGAGGGGGGTGCGGACATTGGCGTGTCTTCCGGAAGAGGGTGGGCTCCTGTGTGAACGTGATTTGGCCGAGGCACCCGTGTGCGGCGACATGTGCAGCGTGTGTGGGCACACCCACAGGAGAGCATTTCCAGAATCGGGCGGCCCGTACGTGACCAGGCTTGGTCTCCTGACGCCGCTCTCCGTGGGGATAGCGGATGGGTGTTGTAGGTTCGCAGTGACATTGCCGTGGTCACACACACTTCCAACCTGAGGTTAGAGGGAGGGCTGCTGCCCTCCCCCCCCCGTAGGTGGGCACATGTGCACGTTGGGAGGGGTGGGTTGGGGGGCTGCTCTCCCAGGTAACCCCCCACCGCCTCTCTCCTCCCCGCAGGCTACAGCATCTCCTCCTTCCTGCAGATGCTGCACCCTGAGTGCAGGGAGCTGCCCGAGCCCAACCTGCTCCCCGGGCAGCTGTCGCACGGGGCCGTGGGTGTCAAGGAGGGACGCGTGCAGTGGATCTCCATGGCCTTTGAGTCGGTGAGCCCCTGGCGGCTGTGCATGCGTCACCTCTGACCCCTGGAACTTGTCCCAGATCAGAGGGGTTGCTCTTCCGAGGGAGATAGAGGCCCAAAGAGGTAGAATTGCTCATCCGAGGTCCCCTGGTCAGTGAGCGTTGGCACAGAGTGCTGAACCAGCCCTCAGGGCTCTGCCCTGGTACCTCGAAGGCTGCCATCCACTCCCACAGCCCTCTCTCCCCATCTGCCTGGGGTCTGCAGCTTCTGGGCTGCAGGGGCATGAGGGGTTGGGGGCTGGTGACAGAACAGGACACTGCCCTCTGCTACTGTGGGGGGCCAGTGTGGGGCCACAGACCTCAGTGCTGGGCCACCTCCAGAGGGACTCGGAAGGCAAGGGACTGGCCGTCCCATACCTCACTGCTCCATCTCTCACCCTGACACTGTCCAGGCCCTGCCCAAGAAGGCACACAGGTGTACACACACGTGCACACATGTACACAGACACACGTGCACAGACACGCACGCCCTGTCCTGGGCGTCTGCAGGTCTCCAAGTCCTGGCACTTCACTGTGTGAGGCTCTCTGAGTCCACCCCTGCTGCCTCAGTTCCTAATGGAATTGACCGTCTCGGCCACTTGGAAGTGTGCACGTGTGTGTGTCACACTGAGTACATCCACACTGCCGCACAACCACTGCCACCTCCGGTCTCCGCTTCTCATCATACAAAACCGAAACTCGGTCCCCTCCCCCTGGCCCCGCGACCACCATTCTCCTTTCTGTCCCCGTGACTTCAGCTCCTTGGAGCCACCCCAGTGGCATCACACAGCATGTGTGTGCGGCTCATCTTCTAGGCTCAGTGTCCTCCGGGTCAGCGCCTGTCCTAGTAGGTGTCGGAATGTCCTCCCTTTGTCAGGAAGGCTGAAGCCACACGTAGTTTCAGAGATGAGAGAGTCCCTGCTCCGGCTTCTCCTCGTGACAGGATGTCACTTCCAAGCTGACCCCCACCCACACTCAGCTGCACACATATGCATAGACACACCGGGACTCGCACAGACATGGGGAGCGGAAACTGTGGGGAGCGGAACCGGGCCAATGAAATAATTCGGGTGGAAGGTCCAGGGGAGGATGAGTGCCCATGCCACCCCCTGTCCCCTGAACAGCTCCTTCAGCTGGACACTGCGAACCGGACGGGCCGCTCCCTGCCTTCCTGGACTCCCAGTCTGGCCAGCAGATGGGAGGTTGCTGAGCAATAACAAGAACTATGATTCTCAGGCTAGAGTCTGGGTCCTCTCCTGCTCTGGGGCATCTGGCCATTTTCCGAATTTGGCCACTTAAAAAGTAATAGATTTCTCTCTATAGGTTTCTTGCTGAGCCAAGAGGATGCCCATCTTGGGGCATCAAGGAAGGCTTCCTGGAGGAGAGAGAACTGTAGTGAGCCTTGAAGGATGAATGGGAGCTGGCTTTGCAGGCAGAGGGTGGGACACAAGAGCAGGAGGGCTCTGGGAGCTGCAAGTGGCTCTGTTGGAAAGGGGCAGGGACTTTGGATGCACTGGAACCTGCTGCTGCTGGTCCCCAGAAGCTGCCAGGTGGCTGTCCTGGATTGGCTGACCCCTCTCTCCCCACACACAACGTGCTCCACTCACAGGTGGCCAAGGACTGGCTGCATCTGCCCCAGAAAAGACCAGCCGTGGCCTGGGAAGGGTGAGGGGGCCACAGCCACCCACCCGTCTCACTGGCTCATGTCCCCGCAGACCACATACAAGGGCAAGTCCTCCTTCCAGACCTACTCGGACTACCTGCGCTGGGAGAGCTTCCTGCAGCAGCAGCTGCAGGTGTTCCCCGAGGGCTCGGCCCTGCGCCGTGGTTTCCAGACCTGCGAGCACTGGAAGCAGATCTTCATGGAGATCATAGGCGAGCAGCAGCCGGCCTTCCCTCCCCCACCCGGGCTCCCACGGGATGGGTGGCGGCAGCGGGGGACCCGGAGGTGATGGCCAGGAACACTGATCGGCAGCCAGAGCTTGGGTGCCCTCCTGCTCTCCTCCAGGGGCATCCAGTTACTGACCAGCATTCTCTGATCCCGAACTGGCCGTGTACAAAGGAAGAGCAACGGCCACCACGGTCGTCGCTGTCATTCTGAGCCCTTTACTGGCCCAGGCCCCCTGACCCGTGTTATCTCTTTAAACTCCACACGGGGCCTGTGGGTGGGTACTGACTGCCCTTGCCCCAGTTTATGGATGAAGAAAGGGAGGCGCAGAGAGGTCAGGTGGCTTTCCCGGCCAGCTGTGGCCATGCCCATTGGTTGACCCCAGTGACCTCTGAACTGTGGGGGTGAGGGAGGGTTGTGGGCGCCATGCACTGGTGTGGCTGTCTGAGGACCCTCTTCTCTCACTGGCAGGGGTGCAGAGCGCCCTCTATGGCCTGGCCTTGTCCCTGCTCATCTGTGTGGCCGCGGTGGCCGTGTTTACCACCCACGTGCTGCTGCTGCTGCCCGTGCTCCTGAGTATCTTGGGTAAGTGGGCTGCGGCCAAGGACCCCGCTGGTGGGAGGCCGTCAGCAGCTTCCCCCGAGCCCTGCACTGTCCCCTCACCTTAGTGACGGCCCACTGAACCAACCCTACTCTGACCCCCAGCAAAATGCCCCCCCCCCCCGCACACACGGTGATGCCTCGGTGACAATCATTCGTAGGACTGTGCCCCCCAAGTCTGCTCCCGTGGTGAGCCAGACATCACCAGGTATAGCTTTCAGCCCAGTGACGTGTTGCTGCCCCCATCTCTCTCTGGCCCTGACCCTCCTGCTACCAGAGGTGGGGCTGCACTGTGGACTGCCCCTCATTCCCCAGGGACCTTCTGAGTTCCCCTAGAACCCCTCTGGGACCGTGGGGCGGGACCGGGCTCCAGTGGCCTCCCTGCTGTCCCCGCCCCTGCAGGCATCGTCTGCCTCGTGGTGACCATCATGTACTGGAGCGGCTGGGAGATGGGCGCCGTGGAGGCCATCTCCCTGTCCATTCTCGTCGGCTCCTCCGTGGACTACTGCGTCCATCTGGTCGAGGGCTACCTGCTAGCCGGAGAGAGCCTGCCCCCCCACCAGGCCGAGGTGAGCCCCCAGGCCACCCCGCCCCAGTGCCGCTGAGAGCATCCAAGGACAGCTGGACACCTCCGTGCCCGGTGTGTTCTAGAAGTGTGGTGTCCAGGCCCGATCTCCCAGGGGCCTCAATTCCACAGCAGCTCCCCAGAGCAGCGCTCTGGGCCCTGGCAGGTCCTCTCCCCCAGCCTCCCTAAGTGAGTCCCAGGGGTTGGACCAGGTGGCACCCAAGGGCCTTTCCTGCTCTGGCCCCTGAGTTCCCAGTGTCACTCCAGCCTGGGGAGTAGGGCTGGGCCCTTAGTTCGTGACCCCGATAGCTGGCCCTTAGGGGCTCAGTGAGAACATGCTCTTTGCTCAATACCAAAACCAGCCCTGGGTCTCATAAAGATTTTGTTTTCTCCTTGTTTGGAATTGTATTGGTGTGAAAACATTCATAATATGTAAATTAAATTATTTAATTTACACTTAGCTGCTTGTAGTCGAAAGAAGGAGGTCAGTTCTAATTAGGGCTCCCATTTATGAGGACCTACTATGCAGAGCATCAGCATCCTGGTTGTCATGGCAACATTAATGCATACAGGGACAGGAGCCACTGTGTGCTGTGAGCTGCTGTAGGGAAACCATCTCGTCTCCCCGAACCCCTGTGGAGCTGATGCTGGAAATGGCCCACTTACCGAGGCAGAGCAGGGGGCTCCCCAGGGCAGGGCTGGCCTTGGGTGCGTGCTGACCCAGCACCCCAGCCCCAGGCAGGCAGGGAGGGATCCTGCTGTCATGTTGGGTCCCCCCCCACCCCAGCCTCTGCTCTCACCCACTACCAGGACGCCCACTCCCAGCGCCAGTGGCGGACTCTGGAGGCCGTGCGGCATGTGGGCGTGGCCATCGTCTCCAGCGCCCTCACCACGGTCATTGCCACAGTGCCCCTCTTCTTCTGCATCATCGCCCCTTTTGCCAAATTCGGCAAGATCGTCGCGCTCAACACCGGCGTCTCCATCCTGTACACGCTCACAGTCAGCACGGCGCTGCTCGCCATCATGGCCCCTGGCTCCTTCACGCGCACCAGGACTTCCTTCCTCAAGGCCCTGGGCGCCGTGCTCCTGGCGGGGGCCCTGGGGCTGGGCGCCTGCCTCGCACTGCTCCGGAGCGGCTACAAGATCCCCTTGCCTGATGGGACCTCCCTATAGCCCCGGCACTGGGTCCCCACCTGCTCACTTTGGCCTGGTGCGTGGGGACGAGACGCTTGTTCTATGACCCCCAGAAGCACTCTTCCCTCCTGGCTCCTGCTTGTTTTGTCCCCAGGCCTGGGCTGGAAGGTGGCCTCAGCACACACGGCCTCATCACCCTGCCCAGCCAGAGCTGGGGGGTGAGGCCAGCAGCGGCCCGCACTGGGCTCCCCGCAGACAGCGGGAGAGGCCCATTCTTCTCTCCGGGCCGGTCACCGCAGTGGTCAGGTCACTTTTGCAGGGGTGTCCCTCTCACACTGCGACCATGCTCACAACAGCTCTCTGATGTGGGTGTTCCAGGCCCCTATTTGACGGATGTGAGAACTGAGGCACCAGGGGTCAAAGTGACGGGCCTCTCACTGGGTCAATGGCAGAGCCAGAGCTACTGCCTGAGCCCCATGCCTCCCTTAGGGACTTGGCAGGACAGGCAAGCACAGTGGGTTCAAGGGCAGGGGCTCGTACCCCTGCCTCCCCGCCCCTCCCCTCCGCTTTACCACAGCCATTGCCAGGTGGTCCCATGGCCCTCCCCGGGCCTTCGGTCCTGACTAGAGAGGACAGAGGGACCAGCCTGGGGTTCTGCATGTCCTACCCTTGGCCCCAGCCTCAAGGGACCTTTCTAAGACCCTCCCTGAGGGCTTGGGGGCCCTAGCACAACCTTTCTTACAGTTGCCATCTCCCCAGCCTGACTCTGGGGGTGGACCAGGGAGACGAGCTGGCCGAGCCTGCTGCCTGCTCACAGCAGATGGTTCCCATTACAATGAAATGGAACTGCAGACCGCCACCATTAACACGAGAATTTTAAGCATCGCTGGCTCTGTCATATTCTTAAAATGGAGATAAGTGTTCACGTGCTGCCCAGCCACAAGGACACTGAGGGGAGGAGGGTGCCCAAGCTACTGGGGCTCGGGGCCCTGGGGGTCCGTGCCAGCCCAGGGCAAGACTGGGGGCCTCAGGAGCTCAATGGATGCCCCTTTAAGGGGCTCATCTGGCTCCCCAGGGGGGACACTTTCACATGCCGTTGGTGTGCCTGGCATTGTGCTGGACACTGACCTCCCTGGGGACAGACATTGTCCACCGGACATTAGGAAGCTGGACACAGACTGAGCTGGGACTGAGCCCTGAGGATGGGAAAGGCCACATCAAGGGTGGTCTGTGGCCAGCTCGGCCGGTCATCAGTAAACGTGAGGGCGCTCAGGGCGCCAGACATGTAATGCCACGTCCCCTGCCTAGTGCAGGCCAGGCACCGAGTAGGGGCTTCATATTTGCTGAGGGCACATCAGGCCTTCAGACCCACCATCTGCGGTGAGACAGCAAACCAGCAACTAATGGTACAAGCCACCATGTAGAAGCGACCGTCCCACCCTGATGCCACGCCACACACTGGGCAGCTTGCAAGAGCAGAAACACACTCCTCACGCTCTGAGGCTGGAAGTCCAAAGTCAAGATGTGGGCGGCGCTGGTTCCTTCTGGAGGTTTGGGCGGAGTATCTGTGCTACGTCTGCCTTCCCGTTCCATTCACATCGTGTCCCCTCTCATTCGGACCAGTCATATTGGATCAGGGCCCACCTAATAATGACCTCATCCTAGTCACCTGCAAAAAGACCCCGTTTCCAAATAAGCTCACATTCATAGGTACCAGGGTTCAAAGTATGTTTTGCGGGGAGAAGAGGGGACACGACACAACCTGTAACAGGATTGAATGTGGTCAGCTCGTTCGTTAACCTGAAGGAGCAAGTGCTGTCATGCCGGTTTCACACGTGGACAAACCAAGACCGAGAAACGGACTTGCCTGGGACATGCCGCAGGTGACGGTGGAGCCAGACCAAGCCTCACCGGCCTGCCCGAGGGGTGTACACCCCCCGGAGGATTGTAACTCAGGGTGATGACAAGGTTGGTGGCGAAGTCAGGAGGCCTGTTCTTAGACAATTTGGAATGAAGCCCTTGAGCTTGTGCATCGCTTCACACGTCAGCGTTTTCCGGGCAGCCTTGCGCCCTGAGCCCTGGGGGAGGGGGACCCCCCCACAAAGAGCACGGGGGCCGAGGGGGCAGGGTCGTGGTGGAGACGACAGCCCTGGGAGCTGATCAGGGGTTCAGGTGGCCCCACCCAGGGCTCTGGCAGCCCCCTCAGGTGGGGCATACAACTGGAGGATGGAGGAGAAATGGAGCCCCTCCCCCCAACCCCTTCCCATGACCCCTGTGGGAGGTACAGGAAGCTTATGGGAGGGGCCAGGTGGGGAAGGGGCGGGGCTGGCAAGTGGACAAGACTTCCAGAAGGTGGAGGAAATGACTTCTGTTTCCAAGTCTTGGTCCTGGGACCTTCCCAGTAACCCAGGTTCCCTGCAGAGGCACAGGCACGAGCGTATCACTTGCGTGCAGCCCAGACAATGCCCGTTTGTAAAGAGACCTCACTGAACCTATGCCTCTGCCTCAAAGAAACGGTTCCTCTTCCTTCCCCTTGGTCTTGATCTTTCCTGAGTGTTGTGCAGTTGTTAGGCTGGCAGGTCAAGGGCGGAGGAGGCAAGGCCCTGGTGTCACTGTCCCCTGCCCACCCCAGGGCTGCCCTGCATCAGCGTGACCCTCATAACTCTCCTGTGAGCTGGCTCCCCTCTTACAGATCAGCGCCCTGGGGCCCCAGAGGGGCAGACGAGTCCACACAGCATACCACCAGGGACTCAGGCCCCTGGGTCCTGCCCCACTCCGCCTACCTGCCAGGCCCACCCTCTGCAGACGTCATTCTCAACCTCAGAATGTCCTCTCCTCAAAATTGGCCTGTCCTGGTCCCTTAGGCCCTGAAAGGTGATGGCTCTGTCCAGCTCCCAACAGGTAACTCTCCCCTCCTAGGCGCAGCGGCCCAGGCAAGGCTGAGGGAAGGGCGGGGCGACTGGGAACTTCGGCCACACACTTGTCTGCTACCTGCCTACAAATAAATACCCCTCCATCTCACACACAGAGTCCCTGAAGCATTAACTCCCATAAAGAGAGTCTTGACCTTCCTTTGCCGCCGATGCGCAGCTCCTGGTCTTAATGGGCTTCTGCTGAGCATCCACGAGATGTTCTTCGTTAGCCCGGGCACAGCTACCCTGGGGTCTGCTGGGATGTGTGGGCATTCAGGGGGCGGAGGAGAGGCAGAGGGACCCCTGTCACCTGCATAGTTCCCCTGGGCCCCTGCTTCTCACCAGCCTTCCCTTGGAGACCAGGAGATATCAAGTGCCAGCTTCTTTGGAACGTCTACCATGTCCCAGACCCTAGCCATGCACTCTCCGAATCCTCGCAGCATTCCCCAAAAGGGGAGGTTTTTTTTTATCCTGTTACACTGCTAACGAAACTACAGCCGAGATGTGAAGCGACTGGCCTGAGGCCACACAGCCTGTGAGTGACAGAGCCGGGACTGCCACCCAGGGCTGCTGGCTTCTGAGTGTGCACTGGCTGTCCCCTACAGCAGCCCCTCATCCAGTGTGATCTGACCAGTGGAAGCAGCCAGCGCAGACCAGCCGGGCAGCCAGGGTGCTCTCAGTACAGGCACCCCCTGCTCACCCCGCCCCCCCCCCCCTTGAGTTGGGAGTCCGGCATCCGAGTCTTAGCTCCGTCCCTGCCTGGGTGACCTTCATCAAGCCACTGGGCATTGACTTAATGCCCTGGAAAATGAGGCAGGGGGCAAAATGGTGTCTGGAACTCCAGCTCCTTCCATGGCGGTGCTGCCAGGATTTGATTCTGAAGTCAAGCCGCCCCCAGTGGCCACCCTCCTGTGAGTCTCTCCTGTTCTCATCATTGTCCACATCCTAGAAGCAGGAGAGTGCCCAATGGCACTGTTGGCCATTCATTTGGTTATGCAACAACAATTTATTGAGCACCTACTATGTGCAAGGCACTGTTCCAGTCCTCGGTGATACAAGGGAATGCAAAAACAGCCCCAGACCCTACCTTAAGGACCTTATTGTCAAGGTGGGAAAAATAATAACAGGGTCGCTCAAATATATACCCACAAAGCAGAGGGCTGTGAGGGAGAAATGGGGGGGTGGTTAGGGCACAAAGCCATGTGGCCTGGCTGGCAGAAGGGTCCCTGGGGAAGTGGCTTCTGTGTTGAGATTTAAAGGATGAGGACAAGTTTCCTTGCCCCTGGGGAATGGACCCCATCTGACACAGGGCTTCCCAAGCCAAAGAAAACTGCAAAGTGATGTTAAGGCATAAAGGAAGGGATGCACCGTATGTTACAGGGGACAAGGCTGGAGCCTTCCTGGGGAGGTGGACTGGGAAAGGGGCACCTGCCTGGGCCAGGACGGAATATCTGGCCGTCGCAGGGGCTTGGCGCTCCTACCCGCAGGACTCAGAGTCACACACCCACCCCACAAAGTAAATCGAGAGTGACAAGCAAAACTTGTGGAGTGGCCCATTGCACAAGACTCTCAGACCAGCATCGGTCACTCTGTCACGGCACAGAAAGTTGCCCTGGAAGAACTGAACCTCCTTTTCCTCTTGGGGTCTCTGGGGAGGGGCTAAGAGGGGCCTTCAAATCTGCTCCAGCAGGTTAAATGCTGGTGCCCTGGGCATTCAAGGCTCAGCAAAGTCCTGTGAAGTGTCGGCCACTCCAAACAGACTTAAAATATGAGCCCAGCAGCAGCAGGAGTGGAGGTTCCAGACACCTCTGTCCACACACAACCTGGGGGTCCCAGGCTGGCACAGGGCCTGGCATTTTTGTCCTTGAAGGCTGCCAGGATCCGCTTTGAAGACTAGGCCTGCAGTCCCTGCAGTGGAACAAGGATGCAACAGCAGGTGGAGAGCACCTGGTCGCCACGAGGGGGCGCTCATGCCCACAGACCACACCTTCCAGGAAGGAGTTCAAAGGGAGCCTCCCTTTTGGTTTCCCCACCTTTCATCTGTCACCACCCCCCCTAGAAACCTGTCCTTCTCTCTTCTGGTCACTGTACCTTGACTTTACTTTGAGGATCCTACCCCAGGCCAGACTCTGTGGTGCACAAGAAGCAGAGGCCACCCTACCATACCCCACCCCTCCACCATGAGTAACCATGTGACCTTGTCCTGACCAATCAGTGCATCCCATCTTCCTGGCCATAGTGATTGTTGAGGGGTAGTCACTTGATCAAATCAGTCCAATGAGTGTCTTCCCAGGGACTTGCTGCAGTTATTGGGAAAGATGAGCAACGTTTCTCGGCTGTGGGAGAAAAGCCTGGAACCCACCTTAAAATGAGGCCAACAGCGGAAAGCAGAGCCAAGGATGAAAGATAAATTTCTGATGACATTACTTAAGCCCCTGGCTCTGGCCATGCCTGACACTAACATACCCAAGTTTTTTTTCTTAAGCCAATCCATTTCTTTTTTTCCTTAAGCCACTTTAACTAAGATTCACTTTCACTTTAAATCAAGAGTCCCAACTAAACAGCACCTCCCCACCCACCCAGTTCCCACACCCTCTCAAAAGGTTTCATTGTATTCCTATCTTACAGGTTAAACGCCCAGCTCTTTCACGTGGCCTTTGAGACCTGGCCCCAAACCCCTGCGGGTTCATCTCCTTCTAGGTCCTCTAACCATGCTGGGCTCTTCGCCCTCCCCAGACATCCCCCATCTCTGTTCTGGACTACACACACCTCCCCCCACCGCTCCCCCCACCCCTTAACACCTGTGGAATGTCAACCTGTCTCTCAAGGCTCATCTCAGATGCCACCTTTCCCACCAAGGCTTCCTCTTCTTTCTCCTGACTCTTGAGGAGCTGTGTCCACATCCATCTTTGTGGCTGGCCATGTCCTTTTCTTGAGCAAAAAGACAAGAGGGTACTCTGCAGCTGTGAGGAAAGAGCTCGGAGACTTTCTAAGAGCCGATATGCAAAATGTCACCAAACTGTTTAAAGGTGAGGGGGTTGCAAAACGGTGTGTACAGCACCCTATGTGTTTTAGAAGTGGGTAGGTGGGAAAATATATACTGCTTTTGCTGTGTATGCATCAGGAAACTCTGAAGCAAACCCGAGGAAAACAGTGATTACCGATGGGGATGGCAGGCAGCCATGGGAGGAAGGCTTTCTTTCCATTATAAATCTCTCCATTCTCTTGAATTTTTGACTGCAGGAGTGTATTATCTGGCTGATTTTGTTAAAGCCAGGTAGCGATGTGGCTTTCAGTAGCTCCATAGAAAACCCACTAGCTGTGGCAGGAGAACAGTGAGGAAGGAGGGGAGGGGCGCACTCTCGCCCCAACAAGTCATCAGTGGAAGTTCTGGGAGCCAGGCGTTGCCAGGAGCTGCCCTCTGCCTTCGCTGCTCAGAGGCTGGGACGAGGGGTATCACCCACTCTGTAGCCAGCCTGCCCGCCGACCCTTGCTGCGATCAGGAGTGTGGTGTCACCTGACGCCGCTTCGCCCCTCCTTGTGGCTGAGTTGGCAGAGGGAAAGCTTGGACCATGAGGGTGGCACAGGGCAACAGAAAGAGTCTGGAGGCAGGCTGTGGAGTTACGCTGATGCGGAGTCGGAGAAACCGGGGTTCACATCCTCATTCTGCTTCCATAGACTGCAAATGTGGGCAAATCATTTGCTCTGTCTTAACCTGTTTACTCACCCGTTAATAGAATGATAATATTCATCATGCTTGATGGTATTTTAAATGAGGTGATACATGTCGAGGGCTTGGCTGAAGATATACCTGCGAAGCCATCATCACGCCCGTTACCACTGTAATAAAAGAGACTTCTCCCAACTCAGGATAGCATTTATGTGCTGGGAGTTGCAAAGCACTTGAATAAATAGGAACTATTCTCCCCTTGACTAGTTTCTCTCCGACTGTGGGTGGAATATGTTTTCTTTTTCCACTGAGGTGTTGGCAAGAGTGAAGCCGGCAAAGTCCTTGAAGGCAGTTGCCTTCCGAGCTTCTGGTCTCCCCAGGAAGCACCCCTGGGAAGTGGGTGCCCCAGGGAACCCACTTGTCCAAGGAGGCTGAGAGACACGTAGACAGACTTGACCCGAGCCCAGCTGGCCCTGCGCAGCATGGATCACCTGACTCCCATCTGACACCCATATAGTGACTGTTGCTTTAAGCCACTGAGTTTGGGGAGATTACTTATACAGCACTATTGCAGCAATAGTTGGCTACAACCTCCTTTATTACTTCCAGAGTAAAGGTGAAGGTCCTTCAGGTGGCCTTCAAGGCCTTTTGGGACCTCTGGCAATTTCCCTGTTTTTGTCTCATGCTACCGCTCCTCACTTGGCACCTCGGGCCTCGGCCAGACCGAACTTCTGGCAGTTGCCAATACATGCAGTGCTGCAGCTCCACTCCGGACCTTGGCACAGGCTGGTCTCCCTGCCTGCAACGCTCTTCCTCTTCCCATCGCACCTTCACACTCCTCCCTCTCCCTCAGCACTCAGCTTCCTCCAGGAAGCCTTCCCTGGTGCCCCAAGTCTGGGTTAGTCGTCCTAGGATGTGAGTCCACAGCACTTGTTCGTACCTGTGCCTGTATTTGCAATGATCCCCTATTGTCTCTGTCTCCCCACTAGGGCACGTGCCGTGAAGGCAAAGACAGGGTATCCCAGTTCCCGGCATACAGTGTGTTCGCCGTGAATATCTGCTTGCTGAATAAGTCTCCTATCCCTTCGAGCCTCCAGCAGTCTACCTGTAAAATGGGAAGCATCTCGTCAGAACTGGGGTGGACAGGTGTCCTCACCTTCTTCACTACAGGAGGACTCCGCAGCCCCTCCCGGCCTTCAGCCTCCTCCCCATCTCTTCTCAAAGGGACTCCGGATTATCAGCAGGAGATCGAGGGAGGCTTTGCTCTGCACGAGCCCACCCGGGGGACATGCTGCTTGTACTTGTCCGGTTTGCGTGGGGAGAGAAGGCTTCTGACCAGGCTGTCCCCTGTCCCTCTGCTGTGCCTGCCAGAGTGCCTTCAGGACAGATCCGCCTTGCCTGTGAGGAGGAGCAGAACT